TAAGATTCCAGAGTCGGGGACATTTACTGTAATCAAGGAGATGGGGAAGCCTTCCCTTGGAAGGTGATGGCTGAGCTGAGGTCTGAAGGATAAGTAGGAGTTCCCTTTCCCAGGTAAAGATGGGAAGGAAAAGTATTTCAGCCAAGGAGACTACATGTGCAAAGGCCCTGGGGCAGGAAGGAATAGGACAAAGGCACAGGGACTAAAAGAAAGCTAATTTGAAAATTCCATGTCTGATAAGTAGTTAATATCCAGAATATATAAAAAATTCCTGTAACTCAACAACAAAAAAATGAACCCAGTTAAAACATGGGCAAAGGACTTGAATAAGTGTTTCTCCAAAGAAGACACAATTCAAGAAGATATGCTCAACATCACTAATGATTAGGGAAATGCAAACTAAAACCATAATGAGATACCACTTCACACCCATTAGGATAGCTATTATCAGAAAAACAGAAAATAAGAAGTTCTGGTAAGGATGCAGGAAAATTGGATCACTTATGTGTTGCTGGTAGGAATGCAAAATGATACAGCCACCATGGAAAACAGTATGGCAGTTCTAAAAAAATTAACTGTGGAATTACTGTATGACTTAGCAATTCCCTTTCTGGTTATAAACTCAAGAGAACTGAAAGCAGGGACTTGAACAGGTATTTCAAATACACCCATGTCCCACGTTCGTAGCAGCTTTATTCACAATGGCCAAAATGTGGAAGCAACTCGTGTCCATCATCCATTGATGGATGAGTAGATAAGCAAAGTGTGGCATATACATAAAGTGGAATATTATTCAGCCTTAAGAAGGAAGGAGATTCTGACACATGCTACAACATGGATGAACCTTGATGACATTGGGCTCACTGAAATCAGCCAGTCACCAAAGAACAAATACTGTATGATTCGATTTATATGAGGTGCCCAGAGTTGTCCAACTCATAGAGACAGAAAGGGTGGTTGCCAGGAGCTGGGAGAGGGGAGAATGGAGAGTTGTTGTTTAGTGGGGACAGAGTTTCATTTGGGTGGATGAGAACAATTCTAGAGCTCGATGAAGGTGATGGCTGCGCAACAATGTGAATGTACTTAGTGTTGCTGAACTGTGCACTTAAAATGGTTAAAATGATAAATTTCACGTTATGTATAGTTTAGTACAATTTTAAGAAAGAAAGTCAGTGTGCTATACTCAGGGAACAGAGAGAGCTGCTATGAGTTGAGGCTAAAGAGGTAAGAGGTGGGCCTAGCCATGCACCATGTAAACCATGTCAAGTGGTTTGGTCTTTGTCCTGAGCAAGGGAGTGGAGGGCTGGCGGTGGACAAGGAGGGGAGTGGATGGAACTGGGAGATATTTAGGAGGAAAATTCAATAAGGCCAGGTGAAGGATGTCATGTGGGTGATTGGGTGAAGGAAGGCATCTGGAACATCCCTGGGTGGCTCCTGGAGACCTCTGGTCTGAGGTCTTGTTAAGGGAGCTGGACAGTGCCCTGTCCAGGTCCCAGTGCAAATGTAGACTTTTTTTTTCTTCTCCCCAAAGCCCCCCAGTACGTAGTTGTATATTCTAGTTGTAGGTCCCTCTGGTTGTGCTATGTGGGACACCGCCTCAGCATGGCTTGATGGGTGGTGCCATGTCTGCACCGAGGATCCGAACTGGGGAAACCCTGGGCCACCAAAGCAGAGCACGGAAACTTAACCACTCAGCCACGGGGCCGGCCCCCACAAATGTAAACTTATATTTTATGCCCCCCAGAAGAAATTTGGGCACTTGCAGCCCCTACCCACCTGGACACACCCTTTTGGGTGGGTGGACATCAGGGGACCCAGGGAGTGCAGACTCTGATTGACTGTAGCCTCTCCTAGACGCACCCACCTGCCCCTCACCACTGAGTTCCATGTGTGCTTTCCTGACTGTGACGTTTGGCCAGCCTCGCAGATGAGCACTTTGGACCAGTCAGGGGTTCTTCTGGTTGCAAGCAACGGAAACTGAGTCTGGTTACCTGAGCAGAAAAGGACTCGATTAGAAGGTCATGGTTGCTCAAAGAGTTGGGTTCCTTGACTGGGGAACTGGAAACCTGGGCCTGGCCACGATGCCACCACAGGACAGCCTGCCTGGGAAGCTTAGTGTGCCATTGCCCAGTGGCCCGGCCACTGGGCCCTTGACTGCACTAGGGTTGTCTTGAAAACCCCCTTCCCTTTTCATCCGCCCTTCATCCTAGCAAAATAAGAGCTGTTAACCCCATTTTAGAGACGAGAAAGCTGAGTCTCGGGGAGGTGAGTGGCTTTCCTAAGATCGGGTATCTTGCATAACATGGGAAGTGGCTGAGTCACTGCTGTCCCACATACCACCCCCAGACCAGTGCCTAACCCATGGCTCTCCACAGCTTCCAGCGGGTTAGTCCAGAGCCGATTTGCATTTAAAGAGGCTTTTTAAAATATTGGTCCTCAAATTCAGAACCAGGGACAGCAGTTGCCTTGTTGATTTTTCACACCTAACCACAAATGCAACCTTGGAGCAGGGGTGGGGAGATCTGATTGGACCGTTAGCTTCTGCGCAGGGAGCAGGTCACCTGCACCTGTTGTGCAAGCCCGCACCCCCAGCCCGAATAAGCAGAGTGTCCCGATGCTAGGCAGCCAGAAATGGCAGACATTCACCCCAAACTCTAATCTTTCACCAGGCATCCTTCCCCCTCACAGTTCTTCCTGAAGTGAGAGAAGAAAGGTCACCTAGTCATCATTCTTTGGTGTTTATCCAGCATGAAAAATGAATGACTCGTCTGGGCAAAGTGGATGAATGGCACTTTACAGAACTGATTTAATCTTGACATCAATTTATTTGGGAGGGAAAAAAAAATGCTGCTTCTCATTTCCAGTCATGTTAATTGGTGTCTGGCTCCGACCAGCCATTCAAGGAATGTCCCAGCAACAAGTTTGTCCTGAAATTGTCTGAATTAGGGTTCTGCCATCAGCACTGAGCAGTGCCAGATCACAGCTGCTATCTGTTGACCTCAGGGCCGGTTCCCTTCCCAGGGGGGAGCACATCCTCTTGGGAGCCAGGATGCCCTGTGGAGTGGCACGGTGGCCTCCTCCACACAAGCTGCCAGGTCTTCAGGTCTTTCATTTTTGTAATGGATGTTTTATTTCCGGGCCTAGAATAACATGACTTTTAGATTTTATGGATCCTTTCAAGTCTAATACATTAGATTTTTTTTGCATTTTCATCATAAGTGTTTTAATTTAGCTGCATCAAATCACCTGCAGCATACACAGCTTTCCCAAATCTTGCCATTCTTTACCATGAAGTGATTGCACGCATGTGTGCACATAGATGCAGGTTGGTACTCTCCATGCCCAGTTTCTCTGGTACAGTGTGGGAGGGGACCACACCAGCTGTGAACCCCAAGGGGTATCTTTGGGGGCCATCTTAGAGGCTGGCTACCCCAACAACCCAATTAAATTAGTGCCCATCCCCCACTCTCATTTTGTCCTATTTTGTTATATTAATAACTCTTATCACTCCCTGAAGTTATTTTCTTGCTTTGTTGTAAAATAAGTGTCTTTCTCCTCCACTAGCCTGCAAGCCCTGTGAGATCAGAGACTCCTCAGACCTGCTCACTGTGGGCTCCTCCATAATTAAGAGCAGCCTCTGGCACATAGTAGGTGCTCAGTAAATATCGGGGAGGAGAAGAATGAAGCGTCGGTGCCAGGCCCAGGGCGGGTGCTGCGCCGTGAATCTGTCTCTCTGTGGTGGGCGTGCAGCGCTTGTTGTGAAGGCCTGAGACCAGACCTCTGTGAACTGTTGCAACCTGGGCTGATGACGGAGCTTCCCTGTCTCAGATCCCAGAGGAGCACACACCCTGGGCCCCAGGAGCTGCCAGCACCAATGAGACACTTCTCTAAATGCCCACACCCTAGCTTCAGAGTCAGCCGGGGAACTAGTAACCGACACTCCGCCTCCCACCAGGACTTCTGAAGTGAAGACCCCCTCCCCCAAAACAAGGGAATGGTTTCAGATGCTGGGCTCCCCCAAAATGACAAAGAGCCATTATACCCACTTACCCAGCCTGGTCCCCAGTGACCAAGAATTGCTGCAAATTCTGTCACCCACATTTCTTTGTAAGGCCTGTGGGGAGCCCCCTGGTCTGGCCCCACATCCACCTCTGCAGCCTTGTGGCTACACTGAACTACCCACTCCCTCCTCTTCCCTTGCCCACCTAGGAAAGTCTTGCTTATGGTTCTGTAATGATACAGCTCCACAGTCCCTTGTCTGCAGTTCCAAATCCAGAAGCTCTGACGCTGCCGGGTTCTTCCTAAGTTTGCACTTCCTAAGTCTTTGCCTCCAGGCAAGACCACCAGGAAGCCTCTGCAGTGGAGCAGAGTTGAGCTTACTGACTTGTTGCCACAAAGGGGAACGTCCACCGTGGGTGTTCTGATCACCTCCCATTCACCCCATTGGTGAGGGAGGGACCCCCGTCCCCAGAAGTACGAGCCTCACTCTGGACAGGTGAGATGGACAGCTGTTGTTAACCACAGATACTCTACAGATCTGTATATGTATACTCTATACGTTTATACATATATAGCCGGGGGACTAGGACACCACCTGCCACACAGCGCTGCTCGGGTTGCACTCGGGAGCAGAGCCAGCAGGCGCTGTGGGCTGCAGGCTTTGTGGTGACAGGGGTGGGGCGCCCCCTGGTTCCCGCGGGAGGACGCGATTCGCTCATTTGAATAGTTCTGCAGGCTGGCAGGAAACTGAGGCCCCTCAGGCTGAGAACAGGGTGCAGTGCAGCTGGGTCTGGCTGGTGGGGGAACTAGCCAGGAGGGGAGCCTTTCTGGCTGGGTGGAGGGCACATGTGACAAGAACAGGGGGACTCGAGGGGCTCTGTGCGGCTCAAAGATGTCAAGGCAGCACTTGAATTTGTAGGTCTTACAACACAATGGGGACCCTAGGGCATCTGTAAGAGGGTTCAGTTAGAAGGACTTATTATAGGATTGGGGTCCATGGGGGAGTGTTCTGGATTGGGTACTGTCAGGAAGCAGGGTCGTTCTGTGACTGGGTCTTTTAATCAGTCCTGTCTAGAAAGTGGGAAGAACGAAGCAGAACTAAAGCTCTGGTGGGTAAAGAAGCAGTGGTCACTCCTGTTAGCCAGGGTGCGGGGCTCTGCGGTCAAGTTTGGGGTTTGGACAATATTCTTGTTTTTGTCTGAGTTCAGAGCGGATTACAACGGGTCTTATTTTGTCCTGGCCCTTCATGTTCTCTGAGGTCGTGTTCACAGGTGTGTACCAAGGCCCTCTCAGCACCTCCAGGGCCCGTGGTGCAGGGCCAGCTCCCGCTGTCAGGGGCTGCTCTGCTCGTCTCCACACCCCCTTCTAGCCAAGAGTAGACGAGGTCAGCCCTGAGAACCCCTGCTAGGATGTCTAGAGCTTCACTGTGGCTGAATGGTGTGGGTCAGGAGGTGGTTCAGAGGACGTCAGCCACAGCTGGACTGCAGGTAGACACTCCTGTTTTCACACAGGGCGTGTTGTCGAGTCCTCTCATGGGACAACCCCAACACTTAAGACTCTGGACAGCAGCCATCAGGCACCCACAACACAGGCCGTTATCAGAAACAAAACCAGCTGTTGGTTCTGGTGATAGATCCCGAAGACGGGCCTTGATTGCCACACAGGCCATAGAAACATGCCTGGTCTTTCCCTAGAGACCCAGCTGGCTTCTTTTTTCAGCCTTGTCACCAACTGTTCTCCTTGACCCGTGATGTTTGTGTAGTATTTGCATAGGTGCAGCCAGAAATGTTTGCTCAAGTGCAAATTCCCCCTCTGTCAGCCGAGAAGAAATCCAGGGCTCCACGATCAGCTAAGGAATTTCCATTTCACCGGCTTGTTGGGTTTCCAGAGCGGGAGCTTGGGGTTCCTAACTCCAAGAACTCTGTTTTCTGTCCAGATTCTGGAGAGTTCCAGGGAGCAAGCTGTCTCTCGGTCACCTTCCCTGCATGCTTCTTGGAAAGGGTCATCGGTCTTACGTAACTGAAGGGCTTGAATTAAAAGGCTGACCGTTCATCTGTTCAAACACTCATCAGCTATTAATTGGGCACCTACTTTGCCCACTTCAGGCTCTCGGAAGCACAGCCACTTGCCCACGTTCTTTGGTGTCCTAGCAACCAGAAACTCTCATCTGAGCTCCGGCCAGGACAAAGGCCATTTTCTCCCTGACCACTGTGACTTGGAGCCTCCCAAGGCCTCTGAGGACCTGTCCGTGCAGTTCAGGGATCCCTTGAAAGCCATTGCTTGTCCCCAAGGACACCGGGAACCCCAGCCCAGCTGACCCCCCGGCAGAATGAGCTTCTCGCTCACGTTCTCCGAGCTGGTCAACATTGCCATCCCGCAGTGCGGGGTGGTGAACTTCAGGGCCCTGCACCACCTGCTCCAGGGCATCCTGGAGCACATCCACATGGCCGAGCTCAAGAAGGTCCTCTCGGGGGACGAGGACTTCCTCCAGACCTCGCAGGAAATGTTCATACCCCGGGAAGGAGATGCCCAGCCCATCGTCAACCCCATGAAGAGGGTCAGCAACATCTTCGACCATGTGGTGAGCCGCGTCGACAAGATGGAGAACCAGCTGGCCATGCTGCAGGAGCTGCCCTCCACTGCCCAGCTGCTGGAGGGCAGCCAGGGCATGGGCCAGCCCGCCCGGGAACTGTGGCACCTGATCAAGCTCCGGAAGATGGTGGAGGGCAACGAAGAAGCCACGGCAAAGGTAAGCCGCCCGGCTTCCAGGCTCTTCCTGCCCGCTTTGCCCTCCTCCCAGGCATCTCACCCACTCTTCCCTTGTGCCCCCTTGTGATGGGCCCTCCCCCTAAAGGGGGAGGAATGCGGCTTTGGTGTCAGTCAGAACCAAAGTTCTAAGCTTGCGTCCTTCGTCCAGTAGTGAGGAAAGAAGCCGGACACAAAAGGCCACGTGCTGCGTGACTCCATTCATACGAAATGTCCGGAACAGGCACATCCACAGGGACAGAAAGCAGATTGGTGGTTGCCAGGGGCTGGGGAGAAGCGACATGGGGAGAGACTGCTGAGTGGTTATGGGGTCTCCTTTTGGGGTGATGAAAAGGTTTTGGAGCTGGGGCAAGGTGGTGGTTGTACAACGTTGTGAATGCACAAAATGCCGCTGTATTATCCAGTTTAAAATGTTTTATTGTACGTTGTGTGAAGCTCACCTCAAATAAAAAGAAATAACCGAGGACCCACAATGAGGGAGGCTCCGTGGTAGTCACTGTGAATAGGAGTTCGTGTTCTACTGAGGGGGACAAACAGAAAGCAAGTGAATAAAAATCTACAGAAACTAGCCATGTGAAAAGGGGGAAGAACATTATCCCTATTTTATGGGTGAGGAAACTGACACTCAGAAATGTTCATCAGTTTGCTGAAGGTGCAGCAGCAGTGACGGCGGAGCAGGAGATGAGCCGAGCCCATCTGACCTAGGGCCTGCCTTGGACCTCGTGCTCGCCTGCCTGCCCGCCCAGCACACAGTTATCCATCAGGAGCTGTAACCATGCGGGAAAGAGTTTGGATCTCGGGAAATAGATACCCAGCCTCTTTCTCCTTCCATCCTCCCACTGGCCAAACCAGAAAGCCAGAAGTCAGAGGGCCAGGAGTATGTGAGTGCAGTGCCTGTGGGTTGACCTCCTGGGGCACCGAGCATGTGGCAGGGGTGGAGGGTGGATGTGCAGGGCTGGGTGGCAAACATCCATCACACGGAGGGACCACTTCGAGGCATGAGCCCTAACTGAGAAGGGAGTCAGGGGCGAAGCAGGTTGAGATGGTTCTGGAAAGATGGATAGAAGTTCAGCAGGCAGATAGGAGAAGGGGGCCTTTCCAGAGGAGGCAGTGGCAGGAGCCAGCACGGGGCACGTCTGTGGCATAAGGGACAGTCCTGTTGGCTCATCCCTGGAGGAAGGTGGTCGATGATGAGTTGGAAAGCTGGCTGGGACCCCACTTTGGGGGTCTTCAGATGCCAACAAGAAGCGTTTGTTCTCATCCAGAAGGTGGATTGTGGGAGGCATGCAGTCTTTCCCGTAGGGAAAGTGGATGTGAGCTGAGCTGCCCCTGGAGAAGGCTGGCCTCAGGGGGAGGGATCAGCAAAAGGAGGCAGGGCCAGGAGTAGGGAGGCCAGGGAGGCCACGAGCCATGACCACCTGGGCCTGAGAATAGGACAGCACGTCAGGTGTGGTGGGTGCAGAAAGGAAGGGCTGTTTGCAAGAAGATTCAACTCAGAGAACTGGACACCAGCAAAGGGAAGGGCCGGGGGTGGGAGGTGGGAGTGCAAGGAGGAGCTGAGTGGGGTGAGATGACACTTGTGTCAAGATGCTGATGAGATGTTCCAGGGGAGATAATGGGCCAGCAGACAGAGAGAAATGAGGGTCCAGGACTCGGGGGACAGGAGACAGCTGGAGCCAGAGCATGAGATACAGGGACCAGAGAGTGAGGACAGACCCCACAGCTTGGAAATTGCAACTCCACACCAGCCTACATACAACATATTTATCAAGAACAACACAGATGTTGTTTGACAAAGGACCAAGGTGAGTGGGCCAGACAGTCATCACTGGTGGAGGCCACAGTGGTACCCACATATCCCTCTGTGTGGTCCCTTTGGCCTGATGTGGCTCTGGGTAGGGTGGAGATGGTCCATCTGGGCATAGCCATCCATCCCAGGGGTCATCGTCCTCCTGTCCTTGGAGATGGCATGTCCCAGATCCTCTTTGAGCTAGTCTCTGCTCACTGGGGTGTCCAGCCGCATCTCCCTGGGAGGTGGGTCATTTCCAGGATATCTTAGGTTAGCATTCTTGTTTTTCAGGTTGAGGTAAAATTCACATAACATAAAATCAACCACGTTGAAGTGAAGAATTGGGTGGATTTAGCACACTGACTGTGTTGTGCAAGCACCACCTGTGCCCAGTTCTAAACCATTTCCATCACTCCAAAAGGAAACTCTGAACTCCTCAGTCACTCCCCATGCCCTCCTCCCCCAATCCCTGGCAACCACCTATCTATGCTTGTGCTCTAAGGATTTACTAATTCTGGACATTTCGGAGAAATGGAATCATACAATATGTGGCCTTTTCTAACTGGTTTCTTTCACTTAGCATGATGTTTTCCAGGTTCATCCATGTTGTGGCATAAATCAGTACTCCATTCCCTTTTTATCGCTGAATAATATTCCATTATATGGATAGACCATATTTTGTTTATCCGTTCATATATTGATGAGCATTTGGGTTGAGACTCTTTTTAAACAAAGGCATTGGGGCCGGCCCCGTGGCCAAGTGGTTAAGTGTGTGCACTCCACTTCAGTAGCCCAGGGTTTCACTGGTTCGGATCCTGAGTGCAAACACGGCACTGCTCGTCAAGCCATGCTGAGGTGGCGTCCCACACAGCACAACCAGAAGGACCTACAACTAGAATATACAACTATGTACTGGGGGGCTTTGGGGAGAAGAGGAAGCAAAAAAAGAAAAAACAAAAATGAAGATTGGCAACAGACAATGGCTCAGGTGCCAATCTTTAAAATAATAATAATAATAATAAATAAGCAAACAAACAAAGGTGTTGTGTTATTTGAAGGATGCTAGGGTTTCTCACTGGCACTAGGGAAGAAGTGAATTGGCAGGTCTCGATAGGTTGGAAGAGTTCATGGATCTCCTCCATTCTAGAGACAGCCCTTAACCCATCTCAGCTTCCGCCTGCAAGTCTCTGTGTCTTCTGGTTATAATGTTTGGGTAGAATAGGATAGAACATCTGGGGTCAGCTGTCCACTCCTGGCCCAGTCAGCCATGGCCAAGCAGGCAGATGATGCCTAAGAATTATAGCTACTGGGGCCCACGCCAGCAGGTCTCAGAAGAGGGGCCTGGACTGGCAGGCACACCAAGACTATCAACTACAGAGGGGCTGCCGGGCTTCACATCCAGCCTGGGGGGCTGAGGAGGGTGGGAACCTTGGTACAGGTGTTTGTAGAGATGACTGAGAAAAACAGATGATGCAAACTCCTTTCCTAGAAATCGGAGACACTGAGCCACAAGAAACACAGGCCAGAGTCTGCCAGCTCGACTTTCCTGGGCTCCGTGCCCCCATCTCCGTATTTTAGGTGCCCAAGCAGTCGTCCCTGTTATTATCATTATTCAGAGATTTGAACTGAGCAGAAATATGGGGTGGATTGGGACCTCAGCAAATGAGGCACCCAGGAGCCCTGCGAGAACATGCTCAGTGTCCGTGGAAGAAACAGGGAGTCCGGTCCGGCCAAGGTGGGCTGATGCCAGGCGAGAGAGGCAAAGCGACAATGTGGATGAACCTTAAATCATCAGGCTAAATGTAAGGAGCCAGACACAGAGGACCACATACGACATGATACCGTTTATGTGAAACGTCCAGAATAAGCAAATCCGTACAGACAGAAAGTTAGATTAGTGGTTGCCAGGGGCTAGAGGGTGGGGGCAATGGGAGTGCCTGCTGGTGGGTATGCGGTTTCTTTTGGGGGTGATGAAAATGTTCTGGAACTAGATAGTGGTGATGGTTGCACAACCTTGTGAATGTACTAAATTCCACTGAATTGTTCACTTTAATATTGTTAGATGTTTTTACCACACACGAAAAAGTAGAGATTGGTAGAATCTATTTAAAAAAAACAAACAAACACAATCTAACTGTATGCTGTCTGCAAGAGTCACACTTTAGATTCAAAGACGCATGTACGTTGAAAGTAAAAGGGTGGAAAAAGATATTCCATGCCAGCAGTAACCAGAAGAGAGCTGGAGTGGCTGTACTGATATCAGACAAGATAAACTTTAAGACAGAAACTGTTACTAGAGACAAAGAAGGCTGCATGGGTGGCTGAGGGCAGGTAAGGGAGGGCCTCCGAGGCCGGAGAGGTGGACACAAGTGTCCAAGGTGTCAGCCCTTCCAGAGCAGCCTGCCCCTGACCCGCCTTGATGGATGAAGGCTTCTGGAATGCACGAGTACTTGAGTGACCTGGCCAGCTCACCAAGAGGGCTGGTGGACAGGTCTGGACCTGGCTGTGCAGCCCGCAGAGGACTGTTTGTGCACCTGGGAATGTCCCTACCGTTACAGAATGTCGCCCTGTCCTGCCTGGCCAAGGTTTCCAGGGTTACCACAGTGCCCCATTGCAGCGGGTTGCCATGGTCGCTGGTTCTGGGATATGCAAGCTGCTTAACTAAGTGTCTGCACCCCCAGCCAGTCGGACTGGCAGCCCGAATGCCACCCTTTATGGGCACCTGTCAGGGGGCATGGGCCCAAAGTGGAGAAAGACAAGCCCACCGGCCCTAGCACCCACCCCAGACAGGGTGAATGGTGCCTGGGAAAGTAGGGCAAGCATGAGGGGGCTTCTCGAGAGGAGGTTTGGGAGGACGCCCAGGCGTGGCCCAAGGGCTGGTGCCCTTGGTCAGCACACCACCAGAGTTGGGGGCTCAGGCACTGCGACCGTCCTTCCTAAGCAGGCGTGGGTTGCAGGGTTTCTTGCCCTCGGCACCACTGACATTTGGGCCATATAATTCTTTGTGGTGGAGACTGCCCTGTGCACTGTGGGATGTCACAGCTTTCCTGGCCTCTACCTACTAGGTGCCAGGGGTGCCCTGTAGTTATGACAACCAGAAATGTCTCCAGACACTGCCACATCCCTCGGGGGCCAGATCGCGCCACTGAGAACTGCTGGTTTAGAAAACCTGGGCTCCCCAGCTTGCTGTGCAC